ACACACACACACACACACACACACACACACACACACACACACACACATGCATTACTGCTCTGATGAATGCCTGCTATCCCTGGACTCACTGCAAAACAGATAATCCAGAGGACTTCGATTCTATAACAGTTTTTAAAAATATAAACTCTCAGTATTACGAAGACATTTATAACTCCACTGCCTTTAAAATGTCATGTAGGATTGAAAGGAAATTTAAGCACATACACACACAAAATAAAATTGGAGAAGATTCCAGAACAAAATACAAAAATTGTGAGTTTCACTTCTACTTACAATTTGCAAGTTTGTAAACAGAGCTATAATAAAGATAGCAAGCCTCCCCCACCAGGTCTTCCTTAACCTTCATAGATACTACAGCATTAGTGTGTATAGACCATTCGCTCAAGCTAGACAGCAAAGAGGAGAAGGACTTGGCCCTGACTCATCTGAGTTGCTCACTTCATGGTGTTTATCTGACTTGCATTTTTCTCAGTCTTATTTAGGAACAGCAGATAATTTTGAAGATTGGAATCTTATTCAGCCCTACCTCACTCCTATCCCTATCATCACCACAGCAAAAGATCCTGAAGTTCACCTTTTAAAATATTTTTCATTGACTGGTATCCAGTTCTCAAGTGTAAGCTCACCCAGTCACCTCCCTCATGAGCAGCAGTCCTGCCGTATAACCAGCTATTAAGAGTGGAGTTCTTAAGTCCATGCCTATTCCTGAGTGCTAAGGTACGCTGCGAAGATTTTTGGCCTGAGTCTTTCTCCTGCTCAAAGTCTCACATTCCCCTTGTCACACCAGCCAAGTAGCTTCTATGTACTTTTGATTTCACTCCCCCAAATCCCTGGGATTATTAGCTGTCTTTTAGAATGGCTTTCACAGAGTCCACTTGCTCACCACACCTCAGATGATTAGCTTTAAAATGTCTTTCATGGAACTCTGAATTCTGTCATAAGGTTGACTCTATCAATACTCTGCTCATTGATACACAGAAAGGGAAGGGGTGAACTTCTGGAGCAATCTGTGACAGGCATTACATACCTATACTTGTGAAAATGTATACTTGTATACTTGTGAAATGTATACTTGTGGAAAATAGATAATTACCTACCTCATCTGTGAAATGGGACAACAGTACTTACCTTATAGATTAGTAGCAGAGTTAAAAAAAACTAACAGTGTTAAGACTCATTAAGGATCAGTTTACCCCTTGCTGGCTATCATTGATGTCATTATCCTGCAGGAGTTAACTCTGTGTTTGGCTGTAAATCTGACAGAAATTTTAGAGCAAAATCGAAGTTGCTGATCTCTTACCTCCAGAGAGTCATCGGCATTCACCATCCAACAGTCTGTCCAGGTGGCCACTATCAAAAACCCAGTGGAGGAAATGGCCAAGATGCAGGCAGCGTACTGAAGAAGATCCTTCATGGCAGCAAGCAGCCTGTTGGGAAGGGACACATGGGCAGATGCCAGTACAGCTGGAATGCTATTGGCTTCTGATGCTATTGGCGTCTGTTGCTATTGGCCTCTGTTGCCGGTACCTGGGATAATAAAGCCCAGTCTTTCACGTTTCCTCTTGCAGGCACCTAAAACTTCAGAAGAATTGTATAAACAGGTTGTACCAGAGCGAGGGTCCTGGAGGTCATTATCCAGCGGCCAGGCTCCCAGTCAGAAGCCAGGGCAGGGGAAGAACTGAGCACATTGTGGTGCGTGGGGGAAGCAGCCCTGACTGTGGGCTAAGGTGAAATGATAGTTGCAGAGGCCTGTAACTGTGTCAAGATGGAGGACTGAGGAAGGATCCTAGGCAGGGTTGCAGCCTGTAAGCTGATCTTTCTCAGGCCCTTAGGAGAAGGAGCTGTTCTCCTCCCCCTTGGAAGGTGGCTGTACGGGTGACTGATTGCGATTTTATTGTTAGACTATTTTAATATCCCCTGACTACCTTAGATAGACAAGCCACCAGTGAAATTATGCTAAGCAAGTACTAGCTCAAGCAAGATCACATTCCAAAGTGTTGGGCAGAACACTTGGCAGGAGGCAGGGCCAAGGACCCTAACCTTTCAGATCAGGGCTGGGAACAAACGTGCATATGGGAATTGTTCCTTTATTTTTATTGACATATAACATTTGAACATACTTATGGAGAAGAACGTGGTTCATTAACTTGTCCGTTAAATGAAACCTCTAGCACCTATGTGCAAATCACAAGAAGTAAAGGCCTAACAATTTTCAATAACATCCAAATGTACAATGAATACAAAATTGAACTATTTCAGGATTTTCTTTCTTAATGAAAGATATGGTCTTCGTGTGTGTGTGTGTGTGTGTGTGTGTGTGTGTGCGCGCGCGTATGTGTGTGTTTTACTGGCTTACTGTTTACTTACCCTAAAACATAGACATAAAATCATACTAAATGACTGACAAACATGATACCAGGCTCCAAATTGTAAGAAAGCATCAACGTTCCCCTTGCACTTGGATCCATAGCTCAGGAGCTCCTAGTCTGGAAACCTTAGAGTGGTAGTTCTCAACCTGTGGGTCATAATCCATGGGGTGGGGGTGGGCATCAAATGGCCCTTTCTTTCTCAGAGATATTCCTCACAGATATTTACATTATGATTCATAACCGTACCAAAATTACAGTTATCAAGCACCAAGGAAAATAATTTTATGAATGGGGGTCACCACAGTGTGAGGAACTGTATTAAAGGGTTTCGGCATTGGGAAGGTTGAGAACCGCTGCCTTAGAAAACTTGCATGAATCTGTCTAGTTTAAATGCTCAGTCAGCACAGATACTGTGAGAGACAATAGATGTTCCTCAAAAACGGAAAGTGTGAGACTGTAATCCAGCACCCTCACTCCTAGGTACACAAGCAAAAGAAATTAGTCCAGATCTTGCACTGACTTTTGAATTCTCTCCTTCATTTTGGTTGAGATGAATAGAGCCTAAGACTTCACTAGCTTGTGACTACATGAAGAAATGATGTAATGCCCTTCGGCCATAAACATGAAGAAATCCTGTCTTTTGCAGTGTCACGGATGGAACAGGCAGTCATTAAGTGACATAGGCCAGGCGTAGAAAGAGAAGTGCCACATGGTGGCATTTGTTTGTGGGATCTAAAACAGTGGATTTCAAAAAGGGATGAAGTGGATATTATCCGAGCCTTGATATGCAACAGGGGATGTTGGAAGAGTTTAAGACAAGGCTACGAACAGTTGGAATAGATTCTAGTCATCTATTATACAGCAGAGTGACTAAAGCTATAAAAAATGTATTTCAAAATAGCTAGAAATAAGGTGCTTTAGTGTTCTTAGCACAGAAAAATGGTGACTGCTGAGTGTAGTGCCTGTGCTACTCTCTCAGATGTGATCATTATAAACTATACACGTGATGCTAAGGTTACTGAGCATCTGAGGTTATTTCTACTTTTCTCAAAAATATTTTATTTTTATTAGCGTGTATGAGTGTTCATGTGTCTGTGTGGTGTGTGGATGTCTGTGTGTTGTGTGTATATGTGTGTGATATCTGTGTGTGGTATATGTATATGTGTGGGTGTCCTTATGAGTGCGTGTGTCTGTCTGTGTGTTGTGTGTGTGTTTGTGTGTGTTGTTTGTGTTATGTGCATGTGTGTGTTGTCTGTGTGTGGTGTGTGTATGTGAGTGTGGTGTTTATATGTATATGTTTGAGTGTGTGTGTATATTTGTGTGTTGTATGTGTCTCTCTGTGTTTATTATGCATCTGTGTGTTTTGTGTGTATGTGTGTGTTGTCAGTGTGTGTGTTGTGTGTGTATGTATGTGAAGTGTGTGTGGTATGTGTGTATATGTTTGAGCATGTGTGTATATATGTGTGATTGTGTTTGTATGTGTGTCTGTGGTGTGTGATGTGTGTACATATGTTTGAATGTATGTGTATATATGTGTGATTGTGTTTGTATGTATGTATGTGTGTGGTATCTCTGTGTG